GCTGCAGCTGACTAGGCAAAACCCACAAACTCTCCTGGTGCCCTAGTTTTCTTTCCTTGGAGCCAGGACTAAACACAACCCAGCAGTATTAGGAAGAGAAAGACAAAAATGGGCTGAAACACAGAAATGCTATAACAGAAGGTGGTAGGTGAGAATGTACAATAAATGCATTTTCATCTACAAGCAAATAGTCACACATGGCTAGGTGACCAGGTTCTGCAGCCGGAATCCATCAACACTGAGTGCAAACCACACCCAGTTCTAGAATTTTATTGGGGTCAGGGACTAGTTTCGGAACCATAGGTTCAACCCTGGCCCATGGAAGAAATGTTAACATTCTTTAGAAAGTATGTAGTATCCCAAAACTTCCTCCTTTGCAACTTAGATAAGGCCCCTAGCCTAGGCAATGCCACTTCTGTGCAGACCTGAACTCAGAATGTCTCATTTTAAAATATTTACAAAAGATTTTTTGGTATGTTAGGCAAAGTCAAGTACAGCTGTTATTCTTGTGTTACACTGTAGAAAATCTACCTACAGTAAATTAAGCTTACATTGGCCAAAGTCTATTTTAGTCAGCAAGCCATATCGATCTGTTCTTTTACTTGGATAGATTTCTTAAAATGCAATCTACAATTCATTCTACACACGGCTGCCCTTGAAGACTGCAGCCAGAACGCTGACTGGAGTGGAACATAGGGACCTTATCATTCCACTCTAGTTCAATCTACATTGGCTCCCAATTTGCTTCCAGGCCCAATTCAAGGTGTTGGCATTATTCTGTAAAGCCCTATATAGTTTGGAGCTAGCATACCTGAAATAACACCTGCTCCCATATGAACCTACCTGACTAATCTGGGTATCCTCAGAGGCCCTGTTTGGGTTCTTTCTTTTAGCCCTCCTCCCTGTTTGTGACTCACTGGAGCCAGGTCCAGCAGGAACCAACGGGCAACCTGATGCCAGCCAGTGTTCCCTCTAAGCTGAGTCAGTATGAGCTAGCTCACAGTTTTTTAGCCTCCACCTCACATGTTTTTGTCTTAGCTCGGGAAGGATGGCTCCAGAACAAACTAAGTTATGCAGTAGCCAAATTGCTTGCTCACAACTTTAATGCCAGTAGCTCACAAAGTAGAATTTTTGCTCACAAGACCCCACAGCTTAGAGGGAACATTGGATACCACACAGCTTGCATGACTCACTTAGGTCTGGCTGCTTGCTAATGTTCAACAGCAGCCACCCCCCAAAAAGCCTATATAGTGCAGTGGTTAGCGTTTCATACTAGAACCTCAAATCCCCATTCTAACCTAGAAACTCAGTGGGTGACCTTGGGCCAATTACACATTCTCAGCCTAACCTACCTCACAGGCAATGCTTCTTCTAAGCTGTTGAGTCTTGTGAGCAAACATTCTGCTTTGTGAGCTACTGGCATTAAAGTTGTGAGCAAGCGATTTGGCTACTGCATAAATTAGTTTGCTCTGGAGCCATCCTTTCTGAGCTAAGACAAAAATGTGCGAGCCGGAGGCTAAAAAACTGAGATCGCTCACACTAACTCGGCTGAGAGGGAACACTGTTCACAGGGTTGTTGTGAGGATAAAATGGAGGAGAAGAGAACGATATAAGCTGCTTCAGGTCTACATTGTTAAGAAAGGAAGGATATAAATGAAATAAATAAATATGGGAGGCAGATAAAAGGTAGATTAGGGGGTGGGTGTGAAGAAAAAAGATAGCAGGGAAAGGTAAGAACATAGGAGTTGCTAGGAGTTGAAAAAGAATACAATTAAAACTAGTGAGAAAAATCAAGGATGTTTCCATTGTGTTAAATCACCTCTTTATTTAAAGGCAGAAGTAATACTGTATTTATAGATGAGAGATAATGGGGAGCAGCAAGTTGTTCATCATAGTCCTTAGATCATAGAGCCAAAACAAAATAATAATGCCCCCGTATAAATCGATGGTGCAACCTCATTTGGAATACTATATACAGTTCTGGTCACTGTACATAGGAAAATCTTGTTTTTATGAAACTAATTTACTGGCTTAATTTAACTTAACTTACCAGCTGCCCTCAGGTTAAAGATACTACTCCTCAGGACACAAGCAATATGTATGCTAATTTGTATCCAGTATATAATCCCAAAAGTCTGGCAATGGGAAATGTCCTAGTTAACCTTGGTAAACTGAAGTTTCCTCCCTTGACAAAATGGAAACATATGTACATTCAACATCCTTTGTTTTGTTGACTACTATCCTGACAACGAAGGAGATAAGTAACACCTATGAGTATCCAGCATCAAAGAGGTGTTGTCAACAGACCTTCATTTTGTCCTTCTGTCCTTTCTCCCTCCATCTCTTCTCTTTTACATAAGGCAATAAACAAGTTTTGGTCCATTATTACACCAAAAATAAAGTTGCTATCAAAGTATGCAGGACTGTGACTAATTTTATCACACTTACTGAGGACAGTAGCCAAGCCTCACCCAATCTCTGGTTATTGGATCATTGATCAAGGCCTCCTGGTGACTAATCAGATAAATAATCCTGCCGTATTAGCATTCCATCAAAGAACTGTATGCATATCTGCATTCCCCACAAATTGGTCTGACTGTCACAGTAATATAATTAAGATTATTCAGACACCATGTCACTGACTACACCTAGGCTTACCAAATGCTAGCGGGCGATCTGCAGCTCTTTACAGGATCCCTGCCGCAGGGGACGGCGATACGCGGTGCACCCGCCGTCGCCAGGATGTGACGCTATGTGTCGCTCTGGCAACGGGACTCCAAACAGCCCACGTATCGCCGTCCCCCGCGGCAGGGATCCTGTAAAGAGCTGCAGATCCCCCGCCGGCATTTGGTAAGCTTAACTACACCCAAACATCCTCTTCCCACCTGGAAACAACTGAACTCTAGGTGACAGGGATCTGTCCACCTGGAGAAAATGACTGCTTTGGAGAATGGACTCTATGGCATTATAGTCGGCTGAGGCCTCTCCCCGCCCCAAACCTGCCATCCTCAGACTCTACCCCAAAATCTCCTGGAATTTTCCCACCTACTCTCTCAAAGGCCAAAATAGACCTGGAAATAGGGTTGCTAGGTCCTTACGGTGTTACAGCTGAGGGGTTCTCTTCTTCTTCCTGGACTTTTCCTGGGGGTGACATCATCATGCAGGGCGTGGAGGATGCTCTAGCGTTTGAGAAAAAATTCTACGGTAACTATAAAGTTTTTCTCAAATGATAGAGTGTCCCCCACCTGCATGATGGTGTCACCTCCAGAAGATTTACTACAAGCACCAACAAAGTAATATATTTTCAGAAATCTCATTTATCAGCAAGTTTAAGGAAATGAAAGGTAAATACAGAGAACACTATTTCTTTAAGGTCAGTAGTAATTTCGGAATGAGATATCTTCAAAGCTCTCAGCTTGCTATTAAGCTGCCTGCATTCAGTGCATGTAACACCCAATGCATTCAGGGCATGCACACACCCTGTGGGAAATGTGGGGGTGTCCAGATGTACAGCAGATAAACAAGCAGTAATAGGCAGTACTTGTCAGCTTAGTGACACATCTGTGCTGAGCAGACCTCAGTACAAAGTAGTGGTGTTCATTGTAAAACCCTAACACAGCACAGCCAATCCAGAAACTTACACCTTGTGTGTGTAAAGTGACATCAGATTGCAGCTGACTTATGGTGACCCTGAAGGTTTTTCAAGGCAAGACATGAACAGAGGTGGTTTTCCCATTGCCTGCCTCTGCATAGCAACCCAGACTTCCTTGGTGGTCTCCTATCCAAGTATTAACCAGGGCCCACCCTCCTTAGCTTTTGAGATCTGATGAGATCAGGCTAGCCTAGGCCAACCAAGGTCAGGGTGATTTATACTTTACTTTCATTTATTTAAAACATGCTATACTGATCTTCCACAAGTCAAAGCAATAAAGTACAATATAATGATTAAAACCCATCAATAACACACCAACATTCAAAATGCAAACACCCGCAGCAGATTTCTGAGAACTGAAGGTATCAAGAGGTGCTTTCATTTTTTTCAGATTTAAATTTTATTTTGAGAAAGTTAAGCATACAAAGTTGCATAAAAATGCATTTTGCAGAAATACTAAACAACAGAAGGAGCAACATCATTAAAACAGAAACATCTGAATCATTTGTAAGCCAAGTCAAAGAAATAAGGTAGTATTAGTTACAACCTGATCTGGACAGCCCAGGCTAGACCAATCTTGTCAGATCTCAGAAGCTAAGCAGGATCTGCCCTAGTTGGTATTTGAATAGGAAACTACCAAGGAAGTCCAGGGTTGGGAGGCAGAGACAGACAATGGCTACCTCCTCTGAACCTCTCTTGCCCAGGAAATCGCCATAAATCAGCTGTGGCTGGATGGCAGATAAATAAAGACTCAATTCATTCAAAAATGTTTATGTGCCAATCCAACTGCAGAAGAAGATCCATTCTAATACCTTAATCCCTATAGCCACAAGCACATTCCAGAGATTACCAAAATGTATAATCAGCTCTGTAAACCTTTTCATATAAAAACCATGTTAAATACAACATTATGGTATTTCTTAGCATATCACAGAAATTTGGATTACAAAGAGAAATGGGGGAAAAATGGCAAAACACCATATGTAAATCTGACAAAGCTTGGACACCTGTTAAAAATTTAATAGAAAAATGAAGGAGGAGGAGGAGGAAGAAGAAAAATAATTGGTTTTATACCCTGTTCTCACTACCCAAAGGAGTCTCACAGTGGATTACAATCACCTTCCCTTCCTCTCCCCTCAACAGACACCCTGTGAGGTAGGTGGGGCTGAGAGAGTTCTGAGAGAACTGTAACTGACCCAAGGTTACCCAGCTGGTTTTATGTGGAGAAGTAGGGAATCAAACCCAGTACTCCAGATTAGAGTCCACTGCTCTTAACCACTACACCAAGGTGGCTCTCTTGAAAACAAGCAAAGGAAATAATATTTCGTCATCAGGGTGGAGTGAAAGCTGGCAAAATCTATAAAGTGTGTCCCAACCCAGAGCTTCTCAGTTACACCTGTACTGCCTCTGGGTTAGAGCATTAGGTAAAGTATGTTTTATATGTATAATGTCTTTTTTAATGTCTCATAGGAATGTACTATTTTAGAGTTAATTGCATTATGCTGTATATAAAGTATTTTTATTTCTCCTATCATAACTGCTTTAGAAACAGTTTTCCTATACAAGAAAATAATATACCTTCATAAACATTGGGAAGTTTATATATAATAAGGTCAATGAGTTTGTACTTATTTTTGTGTTGGCAGAATTAAAAATCTCTTTGTAAAAGAAATGACTTTACCATAAATTGTCATACATATTAGTCCTACTATTTTCCAAATGCATGTAGCACACTTTTTTGTCTGCTCTCAAATTCAATGTATTTTCTCCTTACAAACCTCAAAATGTTAACTTTGGGTTTTCTTTTTCTAGCTTTTCTTCAGAAACATTTTAACATTTTTAAAATACAAAAACATGGCCAATATGAGTAGTGAAGAACTTTTTAAACTTTTTACTCAGTATGCTGTAAAAGAGGGTAGTACTCATCTGCTCTCCATGACAGGACTGAACAACTTGCTTCAGAATCATTTCTCAAACCTTATGGTAAGTCTTTCCAAAATTATATCAAATATATTACCAGTTTATTTATATTCTGCTTTTCTCCCCAATGGGGGCCCATAACAGATCACTTCATTCACCTCTCCTATTTTTTTATCCTCTGAATAACCCTGTGAGACTGAGAGTTAAGGTCACCCAGCAAGCTTCCATGACAGTGTGGAAATTTGAACCTATATTTCTCAGATCATAGTCCAGCACTTTTAACCACCACACTGGCTCTACATGGTATAGTGTAAATCAATGGTCCCCAACATGGAGCCCGACAACAAGTTTCCTAGTACCCGCAAAACGTTTTTAGAAAGTGGGAGGGCCCAGGTGGGACTTTTGCACAGCAAGGCTTCTGACTGGCCAATGGAGATCTGATTGGCTATGCGGATTTTTTAAAATGTTGCTTTGGCAGCAGCTGCCACCACAACATAAGGATTGTCACTGTGTGACTGCGGCAGCCATTTTATGGCTGGCTCCACCTCCACCCATCATGCTGTGTCAGAATTCCAAAGATGCTCCCAGGCTCAAGAAGGCGGGGGAGCCCTGGTGGGAATAGTTCCTAATTCTGTAAGTGTCTTCAAGTATCTCATTTGTCCATTTGTTTCCTCACTTTTTATACTGTTAATTAACTTCTCAAGATTTTCCTCTGGAAAACCAGTATCTATTAGATTATATAAACTGGGCAGTCTCTAAATGTATTTAGAGAGGACTTTTTAAAAAAGACTTCTGGAAATAAAGCCAAGGAAGCTGAATTGCAGTAACATAAAATTAAGAAAACAGATGTCTTATTTTAGCAGGAGAGAAAATACATTTTTGAACTTTTTAAAGAGAATGGAAGGAAGAGTGACACTGAACTATAGAATACAATGGGGAAGGGATTCTCAATCCCAACAAATACAACTGTGGGAAAATGTCTCAACAATAACAATGAACTAGGAGTGTGCAAAAAAAAGAAGTCTGCTCCAGTTTGTTTGTCAATTTAAAAAAACTGACTCAGATTATTTCATATCAGAATTAAACAAATTGTTATTAGGAACCCAGTCTGTCTCCAGGGCAAGGATCTGCCTAAGGCCAAGGAGGAAGATCCAAGCCCCCTATCAATATCCCCCATCTAGTACAGTACAGTGTAGTAATTAATTATTAATTATCATGTGGCATTGTGTGTAGAATAGCCAGGGGATCCTAAGTTTGTCTGGCAGCCAGGAGTTCTTGCTCTTTTAGTGTTATTCACCACTAGGTGGCGAGCTAAACTTGTTTTTAAGGCAAGAGCTGTTTCAGAGGTGGTTTGCCATTGACTGCCTCTGCATCACAACCCTGGTATTTCTTGGAGGTCACCCTTCCAAATACTGGCCAAGGCTGACCCTGCTTAGCTTCCAATATCTGATGGGACTGGGCTAGCCTGGGCTATCCAGGTCATGGCACAGGGTAATGATTAAAGTACTGGGATGTGGGAGACCTGGGTTCAAATCCTTCCTCAGCAATGAAACTCATTGATGACCTAGGTCAATCACACTCTCTTGGCCTACCTTACAGGGTTGTTGTGAACATAATGTGAGGGAAGGGAAACCACATATGCTGCTCTGAGGTCCCTGGAGGAAGGGCAGGACAAAAATCTACTGGATAGATAATATGCAAGGCGTGTCGGTTCTAACTAGTACAACTATTTTGAGGAGGAGGAAGAAAGAAGTCACAGCCTCTGCACCTCTTTGACTACCCCTCCAGCCTTCCACAGATGCAAGTACAGCCTTTTCCTTGCTGGCTTAGCATGCATGCAGCCTCAAGATAAAGGTATTCCTATGTGAACAAGGCCTGTTCCTGTACAGAATACCAAAGTTAGGGAGACATCACAATAACTTGCACAATGCACAAACATTTTGCACAGAAATGTCAATCAGGACAATCCTGTTTGACGGGAAATGGGCTATTTGTTCTGGATGGGCAACATTCCTAACATACAAATATCTGGTGAGTCCCACTTGCCTTCCTGCCACTTGGAAAAATAAATCCAGACAAAAAGGTACCTGAATAACTGCCTGGAAATATTATTTTTCACATTCAGAGTATTTACTATATTCCTGAATGGGACCTATTTTTGTGTTAAATCTGACTAGAGAAAAATATCTCAGCTATACACAGGTTTAGGACAATGTACTCCAGGGCCATTTTACTGAATTTGCAAAACAAAGCCCATAATAATTTTTGCAAAGATTCCAATGACAGGGAAACATCCAAAAGCTCAGGAGGGTTCAGCAAATACATGGACTAGTAAGGGGAACATAATCTGTCACAGAAGTCACTGAGGATCCAAGCTAGAAAGAGTAAACATAGGAGAACCAAATTGGTACTCGCAATTTTTGCTTAACTTCTGTTGACGACAGAGTAGGAATTCTAGAGCATTTCTCAATATGTAATCCAATCATTTCTGTGGAATGTTATAAAAAGGTACATTTATTACTCACAATTAAGCATGGAGCAAATATTTTAAAAGTAAAGTTAGTGCTATTTTCTGTCATTTTTTGTAATTTATGCAACTGTAAATATTTTCTTAGGGCTGTGGTGGCTCAGAGGTTAAGATGCTGACCTGCAGACCAGAAGGTCAGTAGTTCGGCAGTTTGAGACCCTAGTGCCCTGTGACGGAGTGAGCTCCCATCTCTGGCCCCAGCTCCTGCCAACCTAGCAGTTCGAAAGCAAGAAATTGCAAGTAGATAAATAGGTACTGCTTCGATGGGAAGGTAACAGCGTTCTGTGCTCCTCAGCGTCTAGTTATGCCAGCCATATGACCACAGAGAAGTCTTTGGACAGTGCTGGCTCTTTGGCTTAGAAACAGAGATGAGCACCAGCTCCTACAGTTGGATTCAACTGGCTTTCAAGCAAAGGAAACCTTTACCTCTACCTAAATATTTTCTTAATATAATTGGGTGGAAATGTTTACAAGCTAATTTTTAAATAGTCTGCATAAGCTTATTTTGTTTTCATTAAACTAGAATAATAGGAATTCAGTGTAAGGGAAGGAAATCACAGCTTAAAGTGTAAAATAACCTCATTCTTTAGGGTTAATGATAACTAGTGGCTAGAGTTCTTGGACTGGCCACCACACAGAATCAGTTTCAAAACCTAACTTAGGAGTTGTCCACACAGTGACATGTTTGTGTGGTTTCTGTGTTTCTGCTGCAGCTGCCAATACAGTGCAGCTGCAGCAACACTTACACAAGGCAGGTTTCCTCGCAGTTTCCCTGCACCAGTCCCCTGGCAGTGTCCATCCCCTACATGACTTTTTCATTTTAAAAAAATCAGCAGGACAGGAATATTATGTGTAAATTTTTCTGAATTCCCAGCTTTTTTTTACGCTCATTACTCTCATTAAGCTCATTACTCTCATTGTGAAGATATGCCTTTCCCCTTATATCTTTACCTGTATGTAAACCGCTCAGAGACCCTTCGGGGTTGGAGCAGTATATAAATCAAATGCAAAAATAAATAAATAAATAAATATCTTCATAAAGAAAATGGCTGAAGACTTACTCTTTAAAATGAAAGCTGAGAGTCCAGAAAACCCAATGCACAGTTTGCTACAATAGTGTTCAACTGTTATTTTAAAAGAGCCCTCTTGATGGCGGGGAGAGGAATTTACCTTGCTGCTTTGTGGGAGATGAGGAGGAGATGCTGTCCTATGATTCATGTTGCACCAACACTGACATCACATCCAGTGTGAACCAAGAATGCTTTTTACCCTCTCAGTCCAGAAGCTGCACTCATTGTGGGGCTGAAGAGAAGGACAATGGGTTGTAACCAGCCATCTTTTTCATTCAACCTCACCTAATTCCCCTCTGTTTGGTGTAGTGGTTAAGTGTGTGGACTCTAATCTGGGAGAACCGGGTTTGATTCCTCATTCCTCCACTTGCACCTGCTGGATGGCCTTGGGCAAGCCATTGTTCTGGCACAGCTGTTCCTGAAAAAGAGCAGTTGCTGTCAGAGCTCTCTCAGCCCCACCTACCTCACAGGGTGTCTGTTGTGGGGAGGGGAAAGGAGTTTGTAAGCCATTCTGACACTCCTTTGGGTAGTGAAGGGCGGGGTATAAATCCAATCTCTTCTTCTTCTGTACTGCAGCCCCCATTCCACATAACTTTTGTCTATGTGGGTTCCAGGATCCTCACCACAGGTCTTTGCTGGTCAAAGGGGATCCTCTCCTCCCTTTTCCACCAGTGGGAAAGCTGGTTGGAACCAATCTAAGTCTTCAGATTATGAAAAAATTGTTTGTTGTATATGTAGCTGGACAAAATTATGATCTGTTCCATGAACTACATCCCCAGAGATGCAAAAGTACACCCACTCCCTTTTGTAAATAAAATGCAACTATGATTTATCAAGAACTATTTATATTCTAGTGGCATAATGTAGCCTAAATATTTTCCCTTGAATGAATGTCTATTCTGAAAATGTCTACATAATTTCTTGTTTTCTATTCCCCTCCTCCCCCAGGGTTCATTCACTCTCAGTGATATGGCCAAATATGTGCAGATAGATAAAGAAGGAAAAATGAGCTTTGATGTTTTCAAGGCACTGATAAGCAAGATAAGTGGATTATCTGCTTGGAGTGGATTAACAAATCTGGTGTCCTAAACATACTATGAAGAGGAAGAACACAGAGGGGGAAAAAACCCTTGTGAGATCTGAACCAACAGTACTATGAACATTAAGTACGACTTCGCGCAAAAAAGAAATCTGTTTTTCAAACTAGTAATTGCAAAAAAATAGATATAATTTAATAAAAATCTACTTTGGTTTAAAAGCATGTTTATTTGATGATCAGTAAAATCCTAATAGTGATGTTCCCCAGGAACTTCAACAGAGTGGGTATAAAATGCTACAGAAAGTTTATCCTAGTGTGGCAATTCCACCTGCTGCCTGTGGTTACCAGTGACGCAACCATGCATCCTGAGAATCTTGTGGTTGGTTGAGAGTTTCTGTGGCTAAGAGTGTGATCTGTGAATTGGAAAGTTTGTACTCCAAACCTAGCTTTAGACACAAACTACCTGGGAATTTAAATCGTAAGAAACTCATGTCCTTTTGAGTTTCTTGTATGAGTTAAGGCTTCAGCACCACTTCGCTTTATTAATAAAAAGTATTTTCTTCTTTACTTACTTCAGGCTTCTGTTGAAGCCTATAACCCGACTCCAGCAATGGACCTCAGAAACCCTGCACTGGAGAACACACACCAGGTCTGGATTTAAGAACAGCTGCCCACAGCCCCAGCATGAAACTGAAATGAACTTCCTAGATTGGGATCTCTAACCTTTTTTTGAGCCTGTGGGCAGCCTTGGAATTCTGACACAGGGTGGTGGGAGTAAATAAAAATGGCTGCCTGAGAGGCAGAGCCACCCCCCCACACACACACGCACAAAGAGGAAGCCCAAGTGCAGGGGACAAGAAGAGTAATTTTTTAAAAAATACACAGGGGAAAAGAAGTGTGTGAGAGAATAAAACTAACAATGTGCTGGCAGCTGCTGCCAAGACAGTGTTATTTTTAGGCTTGCCAAGTCCCCCTGGGGGGCGGGGAAACCCCCACCCTAGAGGCCCGTTTCCCGCCGGCGGCGGATTGGGCCCCTGGGGGAACTCCACCCCGACATGCACGTCGCCCGGAAGTGACGCGGGCACGCCGGGCATGCTGGGGGCAGGGCCACGGTCATCCAAGGGAAAACTCTATGGTTTTATTTGATGATCAGTAAAATCACTTCCGGGCAATGTGGATGCGGCACGCGCTCTAGCCGCCAGCCGGGAGTCCCCCGCTGCGGCTGAATTCACACTTGGCAACCCTAGTTATTTTAATCTGCACATTCATTCAGATCTTCAATGGCCAGCAGAAGCCCTGCTGGGCAGAAATCCCATCTGGCCCCATTCACGTTCTAAAAACACTTGGTGGGCACCAGGAAAGGTATCAGCAGGCACCATGGTGCCCAGAGGAACCACAATGCCCTAGAAGAATGGCTTCCTGCAGAAGGGCAATTATGCCACAGTACTAGACTACTGAGGTTCAGAACTAGGTTAGAAGGAAGCTTAGAAGCCCTGCACTGCTGGGGTGTGGGAATTCCCAACAGTTTACTACCCCTAAGATTCCACATTGAGCTCCAGACTGTCATTTTTAAAGCTAAGTTACTGAATACTACATCTATTACTAACAAATACCACATTTTAATGTTGTGTCAAACAGCATTTCTTTTGTCAGTCCTGAACTTATTGCCCATAAAATTCATTCACCAAGTTACAGTTTTACATAAGAGCAAATATTTCTTTCTAACCATTCTCACTATGCTACTCATGATTTCATAAACCCATATATACTCCTTCTAGTCATCCTTTTGAAAAGATAATAAAAACATTATTGCTTTAAATTTTTCCTTGTAATGAATGTGCTCCAACCCCTTGATCATTTTTGTTTTCATTTAATGTACCTGTTCCATTTCAAAGATATCCTTTTGGAAGGAGGGCAACCAGAACTGCCTTCCATCTTATAAATGTGAATACAAGATGTAGTGACATAAAACAATGTATTATACATTCATTATTTCCAATTCTACAGCACATTAATATTTTCTATGAGTTTTCATGCTTCCAAGATGAGACCAATTCAGACCCTATCAGTATGTGAAGTACAATGTGTGTTTCCTGGCACTTAAAAATGAGTGATTTCACCTGCTGTTCTGTTGTCCAATGTGAAGTTTAATAGCATTAATTCCAATACCCTACTGTTGACCTCCCTTCATCGTGAAACTATTTGTTCCTCTTTGCCAGTACCTTGCTTTAACCAGTTAGTGATCCATAGTAAGATTTGTACCTCGTCATGTGACTGCTTTTAGAAGCCTTTAATGAGGGACCCTGTCAAAAGCTTATTAAAAAGTCCCAGCACATACATTTCTGCAACATTTGTGTGGTCTCTCTGTACACCATATGAAACGATAACAATATTCTTCATTGTATATCTGATTATATGATCACACCAAAATATGCACTGTTCTTTGTCATTCTTCCTATTCCTATACCAGATTTTAAAAAACAGATTTGATTAAAATCAATTATTTGGAAGGGAAGGCTGACATTATTTGACTCTCAAAAGCTTATTCCCCAAAACTTTTGTTGATCTCTGAGGTGCTACAGGACTTGAATCTAGCCTCTATTCTGTAGTCTCTTAACTCAACAATTATAATTTACTAAATATAATGGGATAATCAAGAGCAAGTTTCAAGACAGGCATCTAGAAAAGTGGATACCACTGCATAAATTCAGGTGGGTAAGAATACTGCTAAAGGCCTTCATATGCTGTAACAAACTCAGAGTATTGAAAGTAATGGAAAAAATGCCACCTGCTGACAAAAGTATATTTCTGGCACACCCTTCGAATTAATCAAAACATTGTAATTGGATAGCATTCAAAAAAGTGAAATATAGTTTAAGCCACAAGAAGTTTTTAAAGAACTTTTATTTAATCAACAAGGGTTGCAAAGCACTTAACCAGCTGTAATACTAAGGTATGTAATAGAGATATTAATCCTTTAATTACTGCCATTCTGTTTGTGACTAACAGTGTAATCCTCTGCAGAACGTGCAAAATTAGTTCAGTCTAAAATCACAGACTTGCACTGAAAGGGGCCCAAACTCCAACTCTCAGGTAGAGCTCCAGAAAATCTTTCAGTTCAGGCAAAATCTCTTAGCATGTTCACTCATTCTCTAGTAGCAATGGGAACACAACAACTGATTGCTCAAACCATATATTTAACTGATTCAAATTGTACACGATTCCATCAACTCCAAGTTCAACCCTCATCTGATCTTGGGGGGGAAGGCTGATATTAGATTTGACCATCCAAGGTAGGGATGGAAATTACATCCATTTGTCTTCATCTCATTGGGCAAGGTTCTCTTACCTTTCCCACCAGAAGCTTCTCCAGTGTCAGGGAAAATTATGGAAATTTTTCAATGGTTAAGTACCAATGCAATCTTTTCTTGCTCACCTCTTTGTAGAAGAAGCATAACCATGCCCTAGGATACCTGTCATGTTTAGTGCTTAGGTAGAAGCTTAGTCCGAAGGACAGTGTCAGACTAGGCAACTCAGGTTCAAATTCCCACTCTGCCATAGAAACTTGCTGGGTAACCTTGGGCAAGTCACTGTATCTCACCCTATCTCACCTCACAGCTTTGTCGTTAGGATAAAATGGAGGAGGTTATATGCTGCCCTGAGTTCCTTGGAGGAAGGGTAGGTTTAAAATATACTAAGTAATCTGAAAACAACAACAACATTTTTCCCCTTTTGCAACTGTTTCCAATTACACCTTTTCCCATCTAACCAGCCAGTGGTGGTGGGGTGGTTCGGAACAGAAAGGGTTCCAAACAACCCCAGCACCACTGGTCAGATGATTGGGTGTTGGAGGAAAGAGCATGTCTGGTGTCCTTTCTGCCTCAAACCCAGCCCTCCCATCACCTGGCCAATAAGGAAGAAGGCTTATTACAGCAGAGACCACAGGGGAAAGGAGAACGAAAGCTGGGGAAAGGAGAATGAAAGGCCTTACGAGTCCCCTGCTTGTAAATTCTAAAACTGGACTGAACTTTCTGTGTCAAGTAATTGCTGACCCTACATGAACCTATGTAGCTCTGGTATTACACCATGGGACACAAGTCAGAGATAGTGAAAAGCAACTTTGCCACAGCAGTGAGAAAGTGTGCAAGAATTACGAATGCTAGCCTCCGGGCTGGCCCCGGAGATCTCCAGACAACAGAGATCAGTTCCCCTGGAGAAAATGGATGCTTGGGAGGGTGGACTGTACATCATTAGACCCCACTGAGGTTCCAGTCCTCCTCAGGCTCCACCCCCAAACCTCCAGGAATTTTCCAAGGGGTCCTAGCGACCCTAACAAGAATTTATTTTTTTAAATTCTCTCTTTCTGCTCACATACACGGCAATTTTCCTGTTATACACTTGAAGTGGTTTCCAGATATACAGATTATACTAATGAACAAGAACAAAAAAAAAAGCGGACACCATTAAAACCAAAAAGCAGATTCAGACAAAGAATCTCCCTTTGAGTAATGCAACCCCATGCATATTTATCCCCTTCTACTGTCAAATCAAAGGCAGTAAATGCTGTGCAACAACTTGTGGTATATCCCACAGAAGTCACCATCCTTTAAAGCATCTGAAATCCAGGGCTTATTTGAATATCTATAAAAGGGGAGACTTGGTACTTACGACAGGATTCTTAGTGTGGGGGTCAAATTCTGTTGAATTTGCATCTGTAAAATAAAAATGATGGGTGTTAATATTTTAGTCATACTAGCTATGTAGTTTAATCATTCTATAATCATCACAGGGATCCTCTGTTGCATGAGTTTTTAAAAAGGAATTATACTCTTCTATTGGGTTTTGCTACCATAACATTAATATATTCCTACAATGAACAAGTAAGAATTGTGCTGTCAAAAATTAAAATTCTTGGGGCTGGCACAATTACCCAAGACCCCTGAGTATACAAATAAGTATAGGTAGCCCTTCAGAAAATATTTTATTTATTTATTTTATTCTGTTTATACCCTGCCCTACCCCACATGCAGGCCCAAGGCAGCTCACAACATACAGTAAAAACAATAAATAGGAATCCATAAAAACATCGCAAATACATCAATTTAAATCCAGATGGCAGTATAACAGTTCTGACTACAGTGACTGCTGGGGGGGGGGGGGGGGGGGACATTTCCCTCAAAGCCAGAATCAGCTGGTGCTGATGCCAGTTGGTACCAGGAGTGCCTTAGGTGGATGGTGCACATGAAGCAGACAGGTTGAACAGGGAAGGCCAGTGACACAATATGAGCTTTATCACCAGGGGTCATTTCCTGCAGGAGCGCACAGGAACGGAGCTCCGGCAGTAAAGAGCCCAGGGGGCGGGCACATGCAACAAGCCCCACCTCCTGCTCCCAGCAGCCTCGGGCCACAAGGAGCAATAAGCAGCCAGGTAAGTTGCAGAGCCCCCTTCCATAGCAATCCAAAACAGTCCAGTGGCACCTTTAAGGCCAAGGTTTATTCAGGTACAAGCTCTCCCTCCTCTGTGAGGGCAGATCTGTGCATCCCCCCCCCCACATAGCTAGCAATCCAAAAGAGTCCAGTGGAGCCTGAGCAGTGAGTGTTGCCTTCTGACACACTTCTGGTGATGTCAGGGAGTGTGGCATATGCAAATAAGTTATGCTAATGAGTTATGCTAATGAGCTCCTGTATCTCTTTTTTTACTAAATGACCCGTTTATCACACAGATTCAGAGGCATATTTTAAAATTACCATTCCTCCCAAATTCTTCTTTGCTTTAGGAATAGATAATGCGCTGCACAGACAAAACAAACAGTAAATTACTACCAACAAACCTGAAGAAATGGCAATGTGCATCAATAAATGAAAGCAATCCTATATTAATTTCTGTATACGTGTGTCTTTGATCTGGACAAATGTAAAAAGCAAAGCTAGTAGCATCATCTGTTGGTAACTGGAGATATAGGAAACACATCCGTCTGATGTTACTGATTCCAAAACTGATGGTGTCCAAATTAGAGTTTCTGGCTTGGGAAATACCCGGAGAGTTGGGAGTGGAGAATGGGGATCGCGGGGGGGGGGGGGGTGCAGTACCACAGAGTCCACCCTCCAAAGCAGCCATTTTCTCCAAGGGAACTGATCTCTACAGTCTGCTGATTAGTTGTAATTCCAGGGGACCTCCAGGCCCCACTTGATGGTTGGCAACACTAGTCCAAACTCCTTGGACTTCAGATATCAGTATGCCATCTTGGGCTTTGATTTAGTTTGTGCAATGCAAAAGTAATCTAGGTGGGATGTAGGGTTTTCCTAAAACTTACCAAGAACTTGCTCTCCCTCGGTCTCCAAGTCTACCTCCAGATGTGACGTGCCATCTCTTGCTGACTCCACCTGCCACAGATTATCCATCTGTGGCTTTCTGGCATGCTAGCAGTAACACAGAACAAACTGCTGTGCTGCTTCCTACCAGTGATTATCTGTTGCGTTTCTGCCCTCCCCCATTCCTCCTGCCCACGATTTTAAGACACAGCATTATCCTAATCATCACAGCAACTTTATCAGACTGAAAAAGCAATCAGGGTTAGATGCCTGCAGAGTTGTTCTTGGAGATGAAGCAGTAAATAAGATTGCTAACATCTCACTCTCAAACGATACAGCTTTGCATTGCACTGAAAAGATATCTTGTGATATGGAAGTTCAATTTATTTCCAACTGTAAAAGTCAAATTGTCATTTCTTCAAGTTTGCAGGTAGTAATTTACTGTTTGTTTTGTCTGTGCAACACATTCTTTATTCCTAAAGCAAGGAAGAATTTGGGAGGAATAGTAATTTTAAAATATGCCTCTGAATCTGCGTCCAGACTTCAAATTGATGAATAGATAGATATTTCAAATACAATTTGGCAGGATTTGCTCAATATATCACTGAGGAGAAAGTACTTGAGGATGTGTTCATGGCTCACAACGTATCTAAACAAACAAAAAGTGCAGAGATATTTCAAAGTTTGAGGAATACTTTTTAAGGAACCACCTGGACTGGAAGACCGTTGTTGGTCTTTGTGCTGTTGGTGCTCCCTCAGTGAAAGGCATGTCCTATAAAACTGTTGCAAAATTCTACAAAGTTGCAAATGCTGACTTGCAAGTTAAATACTGTATGATCCATTACATGCCAGCAAGTAAGCAAACAGGTGATTCTTAAACTGTCTGATTGCAAAAAATTTGTAAATATTATTAAAGCCAATACACTGAACAGCCCAATCTTCCAATTATTTAGTGAGGAGATGGGTACTGAGCTCACAAGACTGTTGCTGTGCAACAAAGTGAGATGGCTAGTGCATGGCAAGGTGCTATCCGGAGTCCTTGAGCTGAGAGAGAAAATCAAATATTTCTTGGTTAGCAGTGTTGTCCAGTACCAGTGGAAACATAAATGGATAGTGTGGTTTTTCTTTGCGCAAGATCTTGTGCACCACTTAGTGCCTTCCTCCCTGTATATATTATAGTGCCCAGAAACTGTTTGCACAAGATCTTGAGAAAACAGACATACAAGTGGGGACACTGTAATTTGGACTTCATGTAAGGAGCTACCGTGGTCTTTTTCTTGTATCTCTGCTTGCATAAGAGTTCCAGCAAAAGTGGAAATTTTGTGCTATATTCAATATACTGAATGGATATCAAAACTAGCATACATGGCAGATGTATCTGAGCTCCTTCTTGTATCTCTCCTTGCACAAGAGTTCCAGCAAAAGTGGAAATTTTGTGCTATATTCAATATACTGAATGGATATCAAAACTAGCATACATGGCAGATGTATCTGAGCTCCTTCTTGTATCTCTCCTTGCACAAGAGTTCCAGCAAAAGTGGAAATTTTGTGCTATATTCAATATACTGAATGGATATCAAAACTAGCATACATGGCAGATGTATCTGAGCTCCTTCTTGTATCTCTCCTTGCACAAGAGTTCCAGCAAAAGTGGAAATTTTGTGCTGTATTCATGGCAGATGTATCTGAGCTCCTTCTTGTATCTCTCCTTGCACAAGAGTTCCAGCAAAAGTGGAAATTTTGTGCTGTATTCATGGCAGATGTATCTGAGCTCCTTCTTGTATCTCTCCTTGCACAAGAGTTCCAGCAAAAGTGGAAATTTTGTGCTGTATTCATGGCAGATGTATCTGAACTCCTAAATAAACTGAATTTGTAGATACAAAGTCCATTAACATCATCCTTCCACCTTGCAACTAAGATAGAAGCTTTCAAAAATAAGTTACTTGTTTTAAAGAAAAAGGTTGATGAGGGAACAATTGTCTTGCTGCTTTTTATTTGTGTTTTAAAGCCTTATTATTAGCAATTACTAGGTCCTTAAAACTTTTCATAAATAATAAATATAACAGAATATCTGTACACATATAAATGTCCTTCTTGGAAAAAGTGGGACTGTTACTACCATGGTCAGACTTGGGTTCTTTGATAGAGTGATTCGCAGGACTTAAGATTCAAATGGTTGAAACAAACATTGTTTTAGTCAACAATTTCATAGCAGGCAGCTAAATGTACCTGGCCAGTTCAGGCAATTCCTTGCAAACTCCACTACTGCCAGCTGCATCCCCAAACAAACTCCTATAAGAAAGAAAAAAAGAATAATCAATGGGAACAATTTTACAATTTCCCCCCAATCTTTTTACAACAGCATATACAGTGCTTTGTGGACCAGCAAGTGAAAAGTGAGATATCAATTTAAAAAGCATTTCTTGGCCAAGACCATCACTGTTACTGAAATTCAGAAGAATCAAAAGAGGAGGAAAGTACTTGTAACTCATATCGAGGCGATAAAGCAGCCCAGCCTTCCTTTCTGCTTCTAAAGACATGTTTCCTGTACTTGCTAAAGGTGGAGAGTCTCCATCGGCAGACTCAGGCATATTCCTTCCTTCCTTTCCTCTCTAGGAACTGCAGGGGGGAGGTGCTTTGGGGGCTGCCCCTCCCCCGCCACCCTGGCTCCCCTCCGTCCTTTCTCCTTTCGGAACACCAGTGGGTGCCTACCCACACTCGCCTTGTCTAGCACAGCTGCCGCGGGAGCCACAGCAGCAGCCATGAGCCAGGCAACCTCCCCGTCTTCTCCAACCGCTGGGTCTGGACTGTGATGGCACAGGAGTTGGGGATTTTATCGTGGGGGGGCATATTGATAGGGGGTGCTCCTGATGCAATAGGGGGTGCTGCCTGTTGCACCCCACCCTGGCTACAGCCCTGATGATGAGGGAGGTGAAGAAGTCCCAATCTACTTTCCATCAACACAGATTTTCTGCAGAATCCAAGCCACTGCGTGTGCTTTCATTTTTATAAATGTAGAATAAATCCATGATCTATGAGAAATCTAGTAAAAAAAAAAGTAAAGGAGCCTATGGAAGGTTGTGGTCAGTCTACTGCTGATGTAAACATCTTACCAAGGAAAGGCTTCTTCTTTTTTCTTGCCCATGAAATAGCTTGAAGTTTTCCCTCTGTGCCCCGGTGTCCAAAACCTCCAGGGACTAAAATACAACTGAAACAATACAGAACATAAGGTAAAAAGAAGATGGAATGACAGTTTGGATAATCTAAAGTGATACTCTACAGGTTTAACTGGTGGTTTTTTGAAAATAGAATACTTCTTTTTTATTAATCACAAAGCAGAGTAATTAAGCAAAGGTAGTCCGATGGATTTAAAAATTCACAGGTACGTTAATGCAATAAACAATAAATATATTACTTGTAATAAAAACATTTTAAAATGGTTCTAGAAGGAGAAGGATACATACTTGCATACAGGATTCTAAGACCTGAGAGTCAGTGCAGCGTAGTGACTAACAATACAATCCTAAATTGAGTTACACCCTTCTAAGCCCAGTGTCTGTTTAGGATAAGGTTCAAACTAGACATTACATTTTTTTCAACAAGTTGGGTCTGGGTTTCCTTGACCTAACTCACATTCCCTGCAGCCAGATGCCAGTTGTGGGAAACTAATTGCTCAAGCTCTTTAGGGGCTCAGTCCAGATGAGTACTGCAGCATGGAGAAGAAGGATCTTCAGCTCCACCACCCAGTGTTTTCCCACCTACACAAAATGGCCGGGGGGGGCATTAGCGGCCAGGGGGATGCATGTACATTGAATACTACGCATACAATAACACCCCCAGGCCATTTTGGGTTGGAAAGACAGCAAACAGAAACCCTCCTGCCTTCGTACCACAGTTCCAATCTGGATCAGGCCCCTGCAGTGCTTGGTAACTTAGTTCCTTGCAGCTGCACATGTCTGAGGATAACTGAGAGTTCATGGCTAAACATACAATCTACTTTGGTCCTGAGGTACTTGGGTACAAATCACGGTTATATCCACTCCAACTCTTCTTCCATGAATTCAATGGGTGGTGTAATGAGTCCATGTTTTGGTGTGTGTGTCTCACATGGTGTCTGTTGTGGGGAGGGGAAGGGAAAGGAGTTTGTAAGCCGCTCTGAGACTCCGAGTGAAGGGTGGGGTATAAATCCAATCTCTTCTTCTTCTCTTCTTCTTTAAATGTTGAGTTTGACCGCAGTAATGCAAGGAGAGCGATAGGGGGAGGAGTGTGATTTGATTGGCTGGTGACTGAGAGTGTGGGAGGAGATGTTCTGAGAGGAATCTGTGTGTGTGTGTGTTTTATGAGAGAGTTCTGTGTCTTGGAAAAATGAAGTGTGGAAGAGCAATGAAGAGAGTCTGGGTGACTCTAAACGTTTTGTGAGAGAGTCCATATGGCAAAGAAACAAGTAGTGTCTAAACTGTGTGGTTAGACAAATGTTTTATCTTGTGTACCTAAGACAAAGAGCTTAGCCAGTGTGGCTACATATATGAGAGAGAGAAGCCTGTCAGCGTGGAATGTTAGTGTCTGAGAGACTGTGGGTGCGTTCAGACGCGGCATTTGTAACGGAATAGGTTACGATTCCAACCGATGTACTTACCAGCGTTCACATGGCGAACATCTGCCTCCCGTCCCTAACCGTTACAAAGCCGTTTACACCGTTGTACTCTGCCACTAGGTCCCAAGTGGTGGTATCCAGCGTACAACGGTTGTAATCGCTGTACCCTGCCTTCTGAACGCTCTCCGACGTTGCACAGCCACTTCCGTTCGGAAGCCCGAGGCTTCCGATTTTCGGCCGCCATTTTTTTTAAAGGACGGCGATATGCGCTTGGGCGAAGCTTCGCCCTGCCGTTTGTTTAAAAAAGAAAGAAAGCATCCTGGGGAGAAGAAAGCGGAGAGCAGACGGCTGCGGGAGGGGGGGGGAGAGCGCGGGAGGGGGGAGGGAGCCCGACGAGGACGGGAAGGGGGTGGGAGGGGAAGGAGGCGCGAGGGGGGGGAGGAGGGAAAGCGGGGACGGGGGGGGGGGCAGATCACCTGGCCCAGCCTCGCTCTTGCTGCTTCGGCTGCCTCCCGGGAAAGGTCCCGTCCCCCCCCGTGGAGTCCCCGGGCGCCCTGGCGGGACCGTGGGCGGGGCACAGACCTGGAGGGGAGAGGGCGAGGCCCGCGGGTGGAGGCTGCCCTTCGGCTGCCGCTGCCGGCGGCGGAATGAAGCTCTAGCAGACCGAGGGGGCTAAACGAATGGGAACGGGGAGGCGGGTTGGCGAGGTGGGGAGACGGGGGGCTGGGAGGGAGCCTGGCAGAGACGGCGCTGTGGCTCGAGCGGATTCCTCCTCGAGGAGAGGCTTCCCAGTGCCCCAGTGAGAAGCGGGGGCGGGGGGGGGGTAACAGAGCTACCGTTGAGCCAGACTTTGCATTTCCCTAGAACTCGTTCTAACGGTGCACAAAAGAAGCACGGCAATGAGGCTGACTTTGGCAAAACCTGCCACCACGTCCACGGTCCTCAGGGAGGCTACTTTGCCCTTTAAACAAGTTTAAATGTAGGACAGGGCTTTTTTCCCATGCGCGAAAATCGCCATTCTCTGGATGGCTGCCTATGCGCATGCGCAAACTAAGTTTAAAAAAACCCACAAACCGACGACACCCGCTGTATGGACGGGCGTATTGCGATGGGCTCCGCAGACACGAGGTGAGTGTGATCGCGTTTCAGCCGGCATAAACTGCACCGGTTCCAACCGGTGCAGTTTATGCCGGCTGAAATGCCCCGTCTGAACGCACCCACTGTGTGACACCTTGCCAGTTATATTTACAAGTTCCTTTTCCAGAAAAGTTCAAGATATCCAGAGATTTATTTTGTTCTTTATTCGATAAATCAATTTTTGTTTAAACATATCCCAGAAATCAGTACAATCCTTCTTCAGGGCCACATAGTCCTCTGAAGTGCCCAGACCCTGGGTCACACTACCAAAAGAGAGAGAATTGGAATTTTTAATTCCTGGTGGCAGCAGAAAACTACCAAGTTTATATACACAGAGGGTGGTTTAAAGGAAAAACAGTCTCCCCCTATAAGCTAGCATGTAACATGTGGTTTTAGGTGAGCTGTTGTCTCTTAGTTCCCCCAGAGTTTTTATTAAATTGTAAATGAGTGATGGGAAGCTTGGCCTCCTGATTTATCACATTTATAATTGTTTAAAAATTATATCAGTCAACTGAAATCAAAAGGAATTAACTACGCAGTTTTAAGAATTGCTGGATCTATCTTTACAGTATATGAAATGGGAGCGTTAACAGCGACCCGGAGGAGGACTGGAAAAGCCGGAGAGAGGGAAACAGAAGAAGCCCCTCCATGAAATTGGGAATTTAAAAGAAGCCAGCACATGAAGGAGCGGTTCTGAATGCGCCTTGAGGAAACTTTAACTAACAGAGCACCGAATGAACACTACTAATACACTAACATAGATAACACCTTTAACTGGTTTGAAGAAAGAAGTTTGACTGCACACAGAAGAAGCCTAAGAAGATAATTTGGACATTACTAACAGATTAATTTACAAGTTAATATATCACTCAGTTTTCTCTTTCTCCCACTATATACCCTCCCTATTTTTCTACTTAAGCGAAATGCCTCTCCTTTTTATGAGAGTAAATAAAGCCTTTATTAAAAAAAAAAAAAAGAATTGCTGGATCTATCTATCTAGTCTAGTATCCTTCCAACAGCAGCCAGCCAAATGCCTCAGGAACTGGCCACTGAAATAATGTTTATACTGTCAAGTCTCCAGCAACTTATAGCTATAGTTCTTCTCTACACAGCATTTCCTTTCAGCCACTAGCTATCTCCTAAAAATTTGTCTTATGCATCAAATCTAATGGCTTTTATTACATCTTGAGGCAATGAATTACATAAATTAATTATCCATTATGTGAAGACGAATCTATTGTAATGGGGAAATGCAGGATGCCTTGATCAACACTCTGAGAGGTCCTGGTCTCAAAGAAAACACTCTGGCCTGGGAACCAAGCAATAAAATCCTTGGGTTTCAGACTGAAAGGAAATGATTCCCTTTATGGAGCCAAGCAGGATAGCAATAACGATTTGCCCACCTGCCAGGAAGAAACAAGATAGATCACTTTGGGGATATCCTGAGTTAGGGTCACAGAAACTCAAGACATGCTTTTGGTTACAGAGAATGGTGGGAAGCAAGGGGACCCAACTCCCATTTCAGGATATGTCAAAGAGGAAACCCTCCCAGTTGGGAGAGATGGGTTTAAAAGATTTAACACATTCTGTGAAAGCACACAAGCAAAGAACCAGAGAATGGGGAGAAATGGTATGAAGTTCACCTCAAACAGCCTCTGTTCCAAAATTCCAGCTTTGCTTGTGCCCATTCCTTGGAAAGGAATGTCAAGGTAAACCAGTGACCTGAACAACACAATTAGCTTCATGGTTTTGTTTTCGTTTTATTAGTTTAGGCAACACTTCTACTAATGTTCCGATACTAGTTTCCTGAGCTTCTGTGTTTCTAGAGAACAGAAATGCATATTAGCAAATAAAGATCTTTTTTCCTCAGGCTATGACCAAAAAATTCTAACCCAAACACCTCACTATTTATCCATGCAAAGACCAAAACAAATGACCAGGCTAGAGAATTAGCAGGCAGGGGAGAGGGAACTGCTTAGCAGCTAGCATATCTATGCAAGTCGCCTCTGTCAGTGCCTCAAAATGCTGAGAGCAATGGAAGGGCAGATAAGTCTGCAAGAGTGTATATGTATGTGGGGGGGATTTTAGCTGAGTTCTGTTGGATGGAATTGTTCTACAGTGTTCTTAGCAGGGCTCATTTCCAGCTGGAACGGGCAAACGCTGTTCTGGCAGTTAACAAGCCCAGGAGCTGCAAGCCCTGTCCCCAGCTCCCAGCAGCCCTCAGTCGGGCTGGGGAGTGGGAAGCAGCATGTGCTGGCCGCCGCCACCACCAGCCAGGGGAAAGGAAAGAAAGTCATTTTAAACATGCCTGGATTCCCTGCCCGATCTTCTCCAGGTGCCCCACAACTGCGGGGCACCTGGAGAAGATCAGGTAGGGAACCCAGGCATGCTTGCCGGGGTGTGTGGCATATGCAAATGAGTTGTGCAAATGAGCTCCTGCACTTCTTTTTCTACGAAATTACCCCTGGTTCTTAATATGAACCAGTGACTTTTTGGAGAAGTGCAGAGATCTACTGGAGGAATCACTTCCTCAAACTGGCTCTATTCTTATGTTGAAATCCTAACTTTCCTGGGACTAAATCATATGAACAGGGGAGTAACTTCTGAGTAGACCTACTTTGGATTATAAATATATATCCATCTATCACAATTCCTCCCCCCCCCCCCCCAACTCCTCTACTTCCTTTATCTTCTTTTTGGCTGGGCAGCCCTTTTTCTTTCTTCTTTGCTTTTCTGTCTGTCCCATCCAGTTGTTTAAATGTATATAAACATATGCTCACTGGGTTTTGAGGGATCGACTGAAATCCTACTTTTGTCCTTGTTTGATTATGAGAGGCTGATGGTAATTCAAAACAAACAAACAGTTTTATGTTACTAATGAGCAGGCCTCATTTCAGGCCGGAGCTCAATAGAGCGACGCTCCGGCAGAGAGGAGGCCAGGGGGTGGGGACATGTAGCAAGCCCTGCCCCTGCTTCCAGCAGCCCTCCCCTCAGTTGGCCCAGGAGAAAGAAGAAGGAAGGTAAGTTGTGGTTCCCCTCCACAGGAAAGGCCTCCGCAAACCCCCCCTGCCTTTCCAGGCCCGCGCTAAGCACGGGGCCCTGGAAAGGCCTCCACAACCCCCGTCCTTCCAGGCCTGCGCTAATTGCAGGGCCCTGGAAAGACCTACACACTCCCCCCGTCTTTCCAGCCACCTTTAAGACCAAGGCTTATTTAGGTAAAAGCTCTCCCTCCTCTGTGAGGGCAGCTCTGCGTGTGTCCCCCCCCCATAGCTAGCAATTCAAAAGAGTCCAGTGGCACCTTTAAGACCAAGGCTTATTCAGGTAAAAGCTCTCCCTCTTCTGTGAGGACAGATCTGCGTGTCCCCCCCCCATAGCTAGCAATTCAAAAGAGTCCAGTGGCACCTTTAAGACCAAGGTTTATTCAGGTACAAGTTCTCCCATCTTCTGACACACTTCTGGTGATGCTAGGGGGTGTGGCATATGCAAATACGTTATGCTAATGAGCTCCTGCACCTCTTTTTCTACGAAATGACCCCTGCTAATGAGGGGAAATGGTCAGGTAGGTATCAGGTTTTGGCTTAGAAGGTGAACAGGCAACAGGAATGAAGTAACATTTGTATAAATATAAACAATAGATAGTTTGTCACTAACAAGTAACTCTTTATTTGCACAGACAGGTCTTTAAACACTGAGGAGAGAGATTTCTTCGCAGTCTTGTTGTACGCACAGTTTATGAAACACTTTATGCTCTGCCACTGACTAACAGGTTTGACTTGGTGGGTGCACTTAGCACTTCCATGGTGCATATGTTAAGTGCCATTTATGATTCTAACATCATGAATGTATAACTTTGGTTCATTTGTGAACTGTTGTTTGGATGCATGCTGGGAAGGTAAAATGCTGAAAGAACAAAATGTTAACTTGCTATTTTTGCTGAGGCTTATGGCCTTAGTAGGCCAGCTATAACTGCACATGTCTCTGGCTAAACGAAGAACAATGGCACCTTGTAAACCATATCAACTATATAGATACTTTTAGAATTTTACAGTCTAAGAGAAAGAAACACTTATTGTCAGCTAAAAGAAAAAACTTTACTTGGGAAAGCCCAACCTAAAAGGTTTTCTGCCAATCAGAGACCTGTTAGAGTGCTGATGTTTGATGGAACCAATAATCGTTTTGTTTGTGTGCATCATCTTGAGTATAAAATCCTATGTCATCCATTGTAACACACGAAGAGTCTGTTGGGTATTCAGGGTTCCAAAACCTTGAGATCTGTACTCTTCCTTTATTAATTAATAAATACTCTAGTGAGTTCCTCTCTACAGGACTGTGTCGTGTGTTTCTCAAATTGGGTTGGGAAACACAACTAGAGGCACCCTTTCTGTCTTACAGTCTCTGCTTAAACAAGCATAAGTTTCTTTGTCTCAAAGACATGTAAGCTGGTGAAGGCAGGCACATTCACACAAGTTCCAGTATCCCTTCTTAACCACTTGATAGAGATCACCTCCCCTTTACTAGAAGCTATTTCCCTCAGACTTGAGTGGATTCTTCTTGATCCTTTCACTCTCTTTACCTTCCTTCCCAGTCAACTGACATTCTCAACTGTCGTTCTAATTGACTCTCTCAACTGTAGAATTCCATTTGAATCCCCTATCACTCAAGGTTCTCAGACCGAGTTAAAGCATTATCCATCTACTGTCTGTCACACCATCCATAATACTTTCCTCAAATTTGAAGAAAGCATTGTTTTAAAAGTTGTATATGTCATGACGCCTCATGACCATCATAGTTCTTCAAATAGACTGAACATTCCAATGAAATTCTACAGATGCTGTTGCAAGAACCAGGGCTATTTTGGGGCAGGAATTCACAGGAACAGAGTTCCAGCTGGCTTCAGAATTGGCCACACCCACTACAGTGAAAACCTTTGCATGTGTGGCTACAGAGGGAAGGCCTGGAGAGCGACACACACACCCCGGCGTCTCCAAGGTGGGCGGGCGGGGCCCCCTGAAAGGATTGGGGAGGCATTTAAATGCCTCCCCATGCCTTCCCGGGCCTGTCCAAAGGCTGGCTTGCCTGGGCTCTCCGCAGCCACGGCGCACCTGAACAAGCCAAGGGAAGGCATGAGGGTGTGGCCTAATATGCTAATGAGCTGCCCTGTCATGGGTATGGCCTAATACGCTAATGAGTTTGTGCTGTTGGTTGTGGCCTATTATGCTAATGAGTTCCTGCTGGGCTTTTTCTACCAAAAAAGCCCTGGCAAGAATCAACAGCTTAATGCAGAACTTTAATCAGCAGAAGTCATAATGCTTCTCATTCAATAAAAATCATGACATGGAAAAACTTCAAATATAGGCATGCCAAGTGAATCAAACTATACTTGCACATAGTTTTTTAAATTAAAAATAACAAAGAATAAAGTAATGGACATTATGAAGTGCCAAGAAAACCAACTATAAACCTTTTAAATTATATGAGTTCAAAAATACCAAATACCACTTACTCTGATTTGCATAATTTTTGCCAGGCTTGATGGAATTTCACTGGATTCTCAGCTTCTGTATTGTGTTCAAGATCTGCTGAGTCTATATACTAATTAAGAAACACACACACACATGTAATAATGATGTAATAAAATAATTTCCATATTTTCCCCATACTTGATAAATAAAACCTATTGGACTCTCCAGTAACTGTGCATAAAAATTACCACCACCACAGAACTTTACAGAACTCTGAGCTGGACCTTGCGGATCCATTCTTCTAATGGCAGATTTTTCCCATGGCACTAGAAACCTTAGCTTGAAGCATGAGGCTCTTTTACTAGCAGAAATGTTGGTTGCATTAGTGGAAGAGCCAAGGAAAAGCAGTGATGTGAGTTGACTTGATCCACAGGATCTATATTATTCTGCTAAAGTTCAACCCTGACTGTTCCCTGGAAGGCCAGATAATGAAACTGAAGCTCAAATACTTTGGCCACCAAATGAGAAGGGAGCATTCACTGGAGAAGACCCTGATGCTGGGAAAGATTAAAGGTCAAAGAAGACGGGGACGGCAAAGGATGAGATGGTTAGACAGTGTCATAGATGCAACGAACATGAAGTTGAGCAAACTTCAGAGGACAGCGGAAGACAGGAGGGCCTGGCGAGATCTTGTCCATGGGGTCACGAAGAGACGGACTCGACTGTGCGACTGAACAAACAAAGTTCCTTGGCTGTGGTCTAAGAATTGTTCAAGCACTCCTTTTGCTAGAAGCAGTCTTGCCTGTCTACATCATTATTTTAACTCTTTGAAAGTAAAAGACTAAATAAAATTGTAGCTTTACATTCTACTTTTCTCAACAGTGGAGTAAGTCAATAGGAAAAGATGATATAGACACAAAGCACACAAGAAACAAAACATGAGCTAATTGTCTAACTTGTAAAACAGGAAAGGAGCTAAACATTTGTTACCACTGCTGCCTGATTCTTCACAACATA